CTGGCTGGGGAATTCTGGGAGTTGACGTCTGCCAGGCTTAAAGTGGCCAAGGTTGGAGACCCCTGCTGTAGGAGAGGGGTCTGAGCCCCAGGGAGGGGTCAAGTGCATTATCAGTCATGAGTCCCTGCGTGCCCTCAAGAAATCTAACTCCAGCCCACCTTGAATTCCTTTCTATTCTTAACTCCCGCAAATTTCCCCTGGTAGTTCAGATTCTTGTAGAGAGCTTAAGCTTGTAATAAATCTTTATACTCATGCGAACTGCTGTTCTTTCCCAAACCCTTTTCCAACAAAACAAACACGAACCAAAGGGAAGAGATTCTTACAAATCCCCGGTTAAAAGACTGCTGGAAACTAATTAACTTTAATAAGCACGAGCCTCACCAAAACTGTGCGAACTCTGCCAAGAATAACAGATAAGAAATATTTCACACCAGAGTCTTCAAATACCAAGTAAGCTACTGCAATGTCCACGAGGCTGTAGTTTCAAAACGTCTTTGCTTTCTGCAAAGAACATTCGCTTCGCAACTGGCTTTTATCTTCTTGAAGGAGGGACCATCACCTTGCAGCCTTATTCCCGAGTCGCCCGTGCTGCTGCAGCTCTGCTCTTTCCTGCGAGCAGCCCTGCATGCACGCACACTTGGCTCCTCGGGAACCTCCTCATTCCTGCTGCCAGCCCCCACCATCTCTGAAGGCAACAGTCCACTCCCTGGTAGTCCTGGCTCCTCATCCGAGTCCTCGCTTTCCTCAGCCGTCTGCACCAGCTGCTGGCTAACCCCAACAACTGCCTCAATTTTCTGATTTCCCTGGCATTTGGTATGTGCATCTTCATGCAACCACATTATTGTAATTCTCCCCCTCCCCCCCCCCCCCAAAAAAATATTTCAGTTTGTTTTTCTGTTGAATTGTAGCACGTATATGTTATATTAAAGGTGGGGAAAATTTGAAGTGATTTATCTTGATCTAATTTTTTTTCTTCTTCCCCAAAACCTGGTATTTTAGCACGGGTGTGTAAACTTTCTATAGCCGCTGCATGGGGAAATTGCTTTATGGCCAGGTTTTGTGCATTCCCCCAAATGTCAAGATTGATAACCTTTTGGTCTATTCTTCTCAAGCTGCTAAGTGGGGCAAGAGGAGTAAAAATGACTTCCGATTCAGTTCCAGTTCCAGGTATTAGAAAGTAAGCAAGCAGCCATTCTTTACATTAAAATAATTGCAGGTTAATGCATATCTGTCACTTTTGACCTGCCCGTTGCCCACAGCATATCATTTCTTCCTTGTTCAGCCAAGCGTTCGGGGTAAAACTGGAGATCCACCACATCAAATCTTTTAAAGAACTGGGAGAAACAAACAGAGACAAATCTTTTTACAGTGCATGATCTATAATGAATGATTAAGTAAAAACACTTTATGTGAAATTATGATGTTAATAATGCTTCTGTCCCCGCGAATTTATTATGTGTTCACTGGGCTGCTTGCTTTGATTTTGATAAAATGGAGCGGCGACCGAGTACGAGTGATGGTTTTTATTTTTAGAAATCTCCTTTGCCAGAGCAAATTTCCTAGATACCGCCGCTACTGTAATTATGTAGAAAACCAATCACTCATTATACTTAGGATACATTATCTTTGAGACAGATGAGGCTAAATAAGCAAGACATTAATAATTCATCCCGCAGTTCATTATGCATGTGTTTGTCTGCTTTGTAGCTGAAATAAGCACCTCATCAGACCGATGCCTGCGTTTAAACAATGGTTCGGTGTTATTGCTGCTACATTCGGGTTTACGCTTGTTAAGCTGTGATTTGGATTATTTTATCAAGCATTCGTTTGTTTGATTTGTCTCCGTCTTTTGCCAGGGACAAAACTTTGGGTACCTGTTCTGGAAGCCTTTCTTTCAGCCACTGGCCCTGCCCTGTGGCTGCTTGCCTGTCTCATAATAGTGCATGGGCGAACATGGTGTGCAAAGGAAGAGATGTGGTTGCCACTCGGGTTAGCAGTTCCATGCCAAAATTAACCCTTGAGAAGGAGGGATTTGGGATGAGGGGGACGAAGGCTGGACTTCATATCCACAATATCTGTCCATTAAATTGGAGAACTAGCTTAAAAATCTCTACTCTCACGGTTCTAATGCTGTACTGCAAAAAATAACTAAAATAATAAAATTATCCCATTGGAATATGGAATATCAGCAAAAGCTGCTCGAGACACGCATTGGTTGCATAAGCTTTCCAAACTGCCTTTCTACATACGGCACCTTTTGAACCCTGCGTGCGCCCATTGAAACTCGGGTCTTTACTGGATGATCCCCAAAATGACTCGGCAGAGGCATCAGCTAGCATGGCTGAAACCCCTCAGCTCTTATCCCCACCCCACCCTGATTTCTGCCAACAACCAGACACAATTTTGCTTAGCAGAGCTTTGCAAATATTGTATTATTAGCCTTCTTGACATTGTGATAGCCAGTTGATGGCACAACGGTGGGCGGCCAGTGCCCCTCCCCGGTGCCTTTCTTATAGCCCTTGGGGATCCCCTCTGGATCAGCAGTAAAACTCTAAAGCAGGGGTCTCCAAACTTGGCAACTTTAAGACTTATGGACTTCAACTCCCAGAATTCTCCAGCCAGTGGGAGTTGGGTTTCCTTACAATAAGTAAAAACTACAAATCCCTCCCCTGCACCCATTATCACATCACAAGCCCCAATCACCATCTGTCCTAGCTTGAGACGTCCCCTCACCCAGGTGCAGAAATAACATGACCTTGATTTACAAAAAGAATGTTATTATGTCTACCCTGTTTCTCCAACAATACGGCCTCCCCCAATAGGAAGTCCCAGCATGTTTTATAGGCATGAAATGAAATTAAGCCCCTCCCCCCCAAATTAAGGCCTATATTAAAACATGCGAAATGGGGGGTGGATGGAATGGTGGGGGGGGGCTTGCCGTTAGGAAGTACTTTTGTTGCACACCCGGATATGGTGCTGCCTGTGTTGACCCCGATACAAAGTGCCCCACCAACGCCGAGGTCAACATCCAAGCCGTCGCCGCCCACCCGAAGATGCAAGGGGGGGGGAATTAAGTCACCCCCGAAAAGACGGCCTAGCCATTTTTTCGGGGCTCAAAAAAAAATAAGACCCAGCCTTATTATATGAGAAACACGGTAACCACATGCACTCCAAGAAATTCCCCCCCTCCCATTTTCCCAGACTCAAGAATGTGTTCAGTGTGGAAGCGTCTGGTGTCAATATGGCTTCCAGAGCTGACGCTCCCACTCCTAAAATCCTTAATCTTCCAGTGGGAACAGAAACTGAGCTGGTCTGGAGGGCGACAGGTTGGGAAAGCTGCATCAGCATCATGCAGTGTGACAACAGGACTAAATGTGTCAACAGGACTTAACGAATGGAGGTCCCTCCTTGAGTTACAGTGCTAAACCCCCTTCTTTTTCTTTGTTCAAGTGAGTCCGCTCCAAAGGCCGAGATTTGCTTCTTTGAAGAAGGCAAAGAGGAAATATGCCAGGAGACTGAAGATTTAGCTACTCTTGTGTAAATCTGCACTCCAGCCTCAAAGCTGGAATCTCTCAGGAATTCCTCGGCCTTCACTCTTTCTCCTTTCTCCTTTGCCAGGCCTCCCTGGTCAGCCGCTACATTCTCATGAGCAGTTCAATTAAGAACGGCAACCTTTCCTTCATCTACTATAATGTTTTCCTCCAGATGTGCAAAGCTCACGGGATTGGCTACGATGTGCGGGTAAGAACGATGCCTGCTTTAATTTCAGTGAAATAATAATAATAGGCAAATAGGCTGGGGAAGAAATTGAGGGTCAACCTCGAAAATGCGCGAACCACACATTAACCGTTTTGGGAAAAAAATCTCTCTTTTTGCCTCTGATCAATTTCGATGCAATCTGTGATTGTGTGCGTTTATTAATACAGTTCAAATACTGAAATCCTGATTTCAGGTCATTAGGACTTGCAGGGAGATGGGGAGAGAAGGAAGGAATTACAAATATATTTTATTTACAGATACTTTCTCTTGCTGAATACTTGACCATCAACTTTTTATATCACCTTGGAAGTGAAAATCTTAATTGGCTTGCTCTTTATTTTTGTCCTTACGTCATCTCACGTAACCCGCCTTAGCAGGTGATCGTGGGAAATTGTATGTTTAGCATTTCCAGACACAGTAAAAAAATAAAAAGCTTAATGTCTTATCCCTTCTCAACAGCTAAAAGAAGGAACCATTTTTATCTTGTTTGAAGACCAGAAACGAAACACATTTGGAATGATGTAAGTTCCCAAGAGCATCGCTGGTCCTTGATGGTCCTGGAGTTTAAGATTCCTTCTCTCTGCCCTTTGCCAGTTTTCTGAAAGATTAAACCTCGGGGAGAATGGCTCCTTAACAGACCCTGATGGCTACGGCACAGAATCGTGTCAGAAAAGCCAGATTAAAAATATCCATAGCTATTTTTACCTGGTAACTATTCTTCAAGAGTAGCCCCAGCTCAAGCCTCACTTGAAACAGTTGAACTCTTTTTAGGGTGGATCTGAGCAACCCCCAGTTTCCGTGCCCTTAATAATGCTGGGGTTCTCCTACTACCAGCGCTCCCTGTTCACATATTTGAGATGCTTTAGCAAAGATAAGACTCTCGTGTTTCGAATGACTCAAGCTTTTGCCCTCCTCCATTACTTGATTAATAAAAAATATTTATTACACAAATCCTTTTTACTGACAAGTTAAAATGGAGCCTCATCTTTTGTACCTCCCTGAAGATGGCCACCTTCGGAGATTGAAAATATTCATTAAATCCCACCGTCTGACAGGCCCAAACGAGAGGGCGATTGTTTTTAAGCCTGCGAATAGAATCATTGGCAAAGACATTTCTTTGGATATCATTAACAGAACAATTGGAGAACATCTCCAGGGGGCCCTCATGACCTTTGCTCAGCATCTCTTCATCATCTATCAAGAATTATCAGCACCTAATATGCATGCCGAGACCAATTTTAAGGTGAGGTGTTAATTAACTAACGATCCCAGTTAAATTTTTGTTCAAGGGACAGAAAACACCTCATGCTGTATTATAAGCAAGTGCTAAACCATCCTCGCTTCTGCTCGTAGCAGTACGTATTTCACAGCTTACGGGTCAATATTGTGAGATTCCCGGCGAATCTGTTAGTTAAATGTAAGGGTTTTAGTACAGGAGCATGGATTTGCTTGGGCTGAGAGCGATTGGTGTATTTGTTTAAAAAACACACGCACACAACACAACCCTCTCTAGCATGAATGGCCTAGCTCCTGAGAAAATTAGATTTTCATTTTGCATACATCCACTCTTGGATTTACTAATTGGAGAGGCAAAAAAATGCACTTCTCCCCAAAGACTTCTATTGATTCGTCAAATGAAACGGTTGAGATGTTTGAAATATTAAAACACATCCATTAGGAGGAGGCAAACAAATAGGCTGTTTATGTCCCAATAGCTACGGAAGGGTGATGGCTGTAAGCCCAGAGCTTATACCCTTGTCTACTACGTTTTGCCCAATAGGATGGCTATCAAAGCAAGGACTTACTTAGGGAGCCTCTGGAGTGCTGGTGTTTTGTGAATGGCCGTTCACTTGCAGCTCAGCTCCTTTCAACACAGAACATAGAATAACAGGAGTGGAAGGGACCTTGGAGGTCTTCTAGTCCAACTCCCTGCTCAAGCAGGAGACAGTATATCATGTGCAGGCAAATGGTGCTCCAGTCTCTTCCTGGAAAGCTCCAACGATGGAGCTCCTGATTAATTGTTTTCACTGTCATGAAATTTCTTCTTAATTCTAGGCTGGCTCTCTCTCTTTCACCAAGTACTTCTTGTCCGGCTCTCTTGGAGAATAAATCAACCCCTTCTTCACTGTGACAGCCCCCTCTAATACTAAAAGACTATCATATCACCCCGGCCCTTCTCTTTGTTAGACTAGACGGATCTTCCAATTCCTGCAACCTATTAATTGTACTTCCAACTTCTTACAAGTTGTATTTTGTGTGCTACTGCATGGTGATGGCTTGGTTTCTACTTCAAAGATGGCCCTGGAAATACACTCAGTCCCAGCAGTGATTCTGAGTGATGAACGGGAAAGCAGTGGTCCATCTCAACCCCAGCGAAGGCACCATGAAGCGGCCACCCCACCCCCCACACACACACAAGAGATGTCAAAAAATAAAGAGCATCTCTTGATTATATGAATGGCTTCTGTGACACCACACCACCCAGATTGACATGGATCTGCACATGTCTGAGGTCATCCTTGCATATGGATGCAAACTGAACAAGGAGAGATTCAGCCTGGAAATAAGGAGAAACTTTCTGACTGTGAGAGCAATCAGCCAATGGACCAGCTTGCCACCAGCAGTTGCGAATGCTTCAACACTGGAAGCTTTCGAGAAGAGACCGGACTGCCATCCATCAGAAATGATGCAGGGTTTCCTGCTTGGGCAGGGGGGGCTGGATTAGATGACCTACAAAGTCCCTTCCAACTCTGTTAATCTGTATCTGTATATACTTCGTTCTTTGGGCAGACTGTAGGATTCTGAAAGTTGAAGCCTAATCTTCCTGAATGGAAACAAGTCCAAAAATCAGAATATGCAATTTTCCCCTTCGGGCAACGTATTCAATTTTTGTGAAGATTCTGGGAAATGCTGAAGTCACCATTTTGGGTTTCTACGAACCAAGACTTCTGCCCAAACTTTGCTATTGTTTACAAGTCCCTTGCTGTAACTTTCAGATTATGGTAGCTTCAACTTTGGATGACGCCATAAGTCATGAGCAGGGGTCTCCAAATTTGGCAACCTTAAGATTTGTGGACTTCCAACTCCCAGGGAATTCTGGGAATTGAAGTCCACAAGCCTCAAAGTTGCCAAGTGTGGAGATCTCTGCTCATCAGGATTAAAAACATGTGCACCGCCAGGGATGGGGCGAAATGGGATGCAGTTTCCTTGACTTTAGCTTAGCATCTTCCATCAACCCAGGTGAATGTCAATTATGCTCAGTCCAGAAGCCCACCCAGGAGTGGGAGGCTGGACCTCTGGGGCTAATCTGCAGCATTCCCACCTCTTTCTAGGGAGCCATTCAGGATATTGAGAGGATCCTGGGGGTTACAGAACAGAACAAGTTAAAATTTGGAGAGGAAAAGAAGGCCTCAAAAGCAAAAACATCCAGAAAATAGTGAGTAAACATCCCTTTTCTGTCCATAGTGTCTTCCAATAATCCTTTTGCATTTTTCTTTTCCCCAAATCACACTTCATTCACTTCTCTGGAACAGGTAACTAGTCGGCCAGACCAAAAAAAAACATTCATTTTTCCTTAGGATTGGTAAAGGTTCCCCTCACACAGACATGCTAGTTGTTTTCCGGCTCCAGGGGGCGGTGATCATCTCCGTTTCAAAACCAAAGAGCCAGCGCTGTCCGAAGACGTCTCTGTGGTCATGTGGCCGGCAGGACTAAACACCGAACATTGTTCCCTTCCCACCAAAGTGGTCCCTATTTTTCTACTTGTATTTTTTACAAGCTTTTGAACTGCTAGGTTGGTAGAAGCTGGGACAAGGAGCAGGAGCTCACTCCATTACGCGGTGCTAGGGATTCGAACCGCCAAACTGCTGACCTTCCTGATCGACAAGCTCAGTGTCTTAGCCCCTGAGCCACTACATTCCTACTTCCTTAGGATAGCTTGAGCCTAAAGCAGGGGTTTTCAAACTTGACTGGTGGACCTCAACTCCCAGAATTCCTCCTCCAGTCATGTTAGCTCAGGAATTCTGGGAGTTGAAGTCCACAAGTCTTAAACTTGCCAAGTTTGGAGACCCTTGGCCTAAAGCTTTAAAAATAATACTTAGTTGGGCACGTTTGTCTTTTGGAAGAGAAAAAATGTGTAATAGGATGCAAATGGTCAGTTCCCTCACTCCATAACATGCTCTCGGTTGTATGCCTATGATTTATTATAGGGTGGTATAACTATTTATAGAAATTAATATGTATACGAAGAAACCTCACAAATAAAGGCAAATATACAAGTCCCAGGATAATGTTGCAAGATTGAATCTGTATCAGTCACCGGGACGAGAGGTTTAGTCTTCCAAGCTTTAGGGTTCATGCTGGAGCCCATCTTCAGGGAACTTCTGTTTAGCAGTATGTGTGCTTTGGGCTATACTATGCATCGTATTTATGTGATGTCTGATTGGGTGTGGCTTCACTAGGCAACACATGAATACCATGCATACTACAGCCTAAAACAGGGGTCTCCAACCTTGGCAACTTGACGACTTAAGGATTTCAACTCCCAGAATTATGACTTGTGGACTTCAACTCCCACATGCTGGCTGAGGAATTCTGGGAGTTGAAATCCTTAAGTCGTCAAGTTGCCAAGGTTGGAGACCCCTGGCCCAAAGCACAGATTCTGATGGAGAGAAGTTCCCTGAGGAAGCAAGCACTCCAGCACCAATCCGAAAGCTCAAAAGACTAGATCTCTAGTCCAGGTGACTGTCCCAGATTGGATCTTGCAAAGAAACCTAAATATGAAATTTATACCTGCTCTCTTTTGGGGCAAAGCAACACTAATTATTGAAGATTATTAATTGTTTTGGAAGAAAAAAATACTCGAACGTTGATTTGTTAAGATATTTTTTTTGATCTTCCTACAGATTAAAATACACTCTTCACACCTTGAGATTCTCACCAGGCATCTTCAAACTCTTCGTCTTTTGAAGACTTCCACTTTTACACTTGTAAATCTGAAATTGTTTTTGAGATTTTTGAAAACCCCAAGTAGGTCCCCGTAGTGACCCAGGTTTTAAAAACTGTTAATATTAGATTAAGTTTCCTCTGAGTGCTTTACATGAGTATTTATTCCTCCAATAAATTGCAACGTATTTATAGTGGAAAAAAATAATTTCCCAATGTTGGAAGTGAGAAGACTCTTCTCATTTCTAAGATTTTTTAATTCATTTTTCCTTAAAGAAATGTGCCTAAAATTCAACTGTTGCATGGAAAAGAAGGAGACATTTTCATGCGTTTCATTGGATGATCTACTCAGAAGATCCACTGGGTTTCAAGGAATCATATCCCAATCCATTTTCAATGTCAACAATCCATAAGAACTGAAGGAAATCATAGGAACATTCAAAAGAGGACTTTAAATTCTATATTAGATTACATTACAAATGGTTTCATACTTCACAAATTTTTGGGAGTTGTTCTGTTACTCAAAAAAAAAAAAAAGCACGATTTGCTTGGAAGTAATTATGCGGAACAAGATTTAAAACCCATTATCCAAATATGGAGAAACCTGTTCCTCACAGTGGCTGAGTTCAGATAACATACTTAACTAAGTTAATTAAATTAGTGCCTGCACAATATACTAAACTTGGTTGGTTTTGTTTAAAGATCTTGTGTGTTTTGTGAGCCCTGGTGCTTTGGTATTTATGACCTAAGGAATTATTCGAACTTAGGCAATGGCTTAATTCAGTAATCAGGCTAATTCAGTAAACAGTCTGTTTTTGAGATTCCCATTCTAAAGACATGGGCGTTATCAGTAACTGCTGAAAAGTTACTGCCTATTCTTAATGACACTTTTTTTTTTTTTAAAAAAAAAGGTCTTTCCTATAGTTAGTACAATTTGCCCTGTTTCTTGTTCTCCAATCAGTATTTTTCAATCTTGGCCAGCCAGGGAATTCTGGGAGTTGAATTCCACATCTTTTGAAGCTGCCAACTTTGAAAAACGTGGCCTTAAACCAATTGCTGATTTGTAACCCGGAGTCAAATCCACACAGATCCGGCCAATATCAAGGAAGGGAGAAATACACAAATTTTGTTGTAGAAATACATGCTAGTTGCCAAGTACCTAAACTTTGACCACACAGCTATGGGGATGCTGCAATTGTCATAGGCATGAAAAATGGTCATAAGTCGTAAGTCGAGGACTACTTCTAGTCATTTATGACACGGTTCCCAACCCCTGGTCCTGGCCCACAACCGGGCTTTGAGCCATTCAGAACTGGGCCACGGAAGTGGCGGGCAAGCACATGCGTGCACAAACCCTCTTGTGCGAGCAGCAGGCGAGCGTGTGCCCGTGTGCTGCCGCTCTTGCAAATGGAGCTGTGCGCATTTCCCCACCACTCAGTTGGAACCAGTCCCCCCACCCTGGGCCACAAAGCCAGATTTATGAGATAAGCTGTTGTTCTGTCCTAAGGCTTCCCGAGACACCAACAAACACATATAAAATCCAAAACTCTTTTATTTTAGTTCAATGGCTGTGAATTATCGTCATTCACAGCCCAGAATGAGTCTTAACTGGTTATAATTAGTCCCAGGGACATCTGCCAAAGTTTTTTGTAAGATGTCTGATAAGAACGCACCTTATCTTGCTTGAAGTGCTGCCAACGACTAAAGCCCCAATTAATCTTTTCATAATCAGAGAACAAATTCTCCACGGAGCTTTCAGAGTCCAAACCGATCAGAGCAAATGACGTTGCTTCCTGCAAAGGTTTCTGTACCTTTGCACTTCCTTTATACCTTAGGGGAGGGGCAATCACCTCTCAGCCTTACTCCTGAGTCGCCCCTTTTGTCTCAGCTGCTCTTGCCTTCTAGCAGCTCTGTGCACACGCACACTGGGAACAGGCTCCCCTTGTTCCTCTGCCTCGCTGCTGCCAGATTCTGGAGGCTCCGGAGTCAGCATCCCACTCCCAGATGGTCCTGGCCCCATCTCTGCATCGGACGCAGGACTCTCATCCGAGTCCTCCCCAGACTCCCAAACTGGTCCCTGCTCTTCCCCACTGTCCGATTCCACTGCCGTCTGCACAGGCTGCCGGCGAACCACAACAGCTGTGGACCCACGGACTACTAATATGAATTTTGAGTGATGGTGGCTTGCTGACATTGGTGGGAGAAAGAGAGAGAGATCCAATCTAACCTTGGAGGGCTGGCGGTGATGTTCTCTCTCTCTCTCTCCCTCTCCCTCCCTCCCCTCCCTCTCTCTCTCTCACACACACACAGGTCCCTCACACACCCCACCCCCTCCAAGGCAGCCACATTCCTAACCTGCTTTTAGAGCTCTGTTCTGGGGGGAGGGGAGAGAGACGGTATCCTGCGATCCCCAATAAAGAACAACCGTTTGGTAGGAAAACAGGGTGGGGGTTTTCCTGCAGACTTTTTGGGGGACTTTCCCAGGGTCTCTGCAAAAAAAGCAGAAACAGCCTGGATTAATTGCTTTGGGGGGTGCTTTGGAAGTGATATTTCTCTGCGGACCACCAAAATTTTCTTGCGGACCACCAGTGGTCCCCGGCCCACCAGTTGATGACCACTGTTATAGAGCACTGCACACCAGAACAACTAGACACAACAACTTTTTCCTGAACGCCTTCACTCGGCTAAACAAATAATTCCCTCCATGCTGTTCAACTCTTTACAAAGTCTGCACTACAATCACTATTAATCTCATCCCTCCTTATCACCCATCCCCTCCCACTTGTGATTGTATGACTGTAACCTTGTCACTTGTATCCTTACGATTTATATGGACTGTTTCCAAGTATGATTTGATTTCTTATTATATCCTATGACTATCATTAAGTGTTGGACCTGATGATTCTTGACGAATGTATCTTTTTTTTATGTACACTGAGAGCATTTGCACCGAAGACAAATTCCTTGTGTGTCCAATCACACTTGGCCAATAAAGAATTCTATTCTATTCTATTCTATTCTATTCTATTCTATTCTATTCTATTCTATTCTATTCTATTCTATTCCATTCCATTCCATTCCATTCCATTCTATATTCTATTCTGTTCTGTTCTATTCCATTCCATTCCATTCCATTCCATTCCATTCCATTCCATTCCATTCCATTCTTCATCTCAATATTCTATTCTATTCTATTCTATTGTAATAATATAGGAAATACTCTAAATGCTCTGATGGTCATTTCAAAAAATCCTTTCTTAGTGAGTGCCTAGAAGCCAGGAGGAAGGTAAGTGCCAAATGTCAAGTTTGTAGGCTTGACAGTTCTGGAGATTTTGTCATGATGCATGAGCGGCATTTCGCTTTTATAAATATATATAGATTATCTATTTATCATCCAAAACAGGGGTCTTCAAACTTGGCAGCTTTTAAGACTTGTGGGACTTCAACTCCCAGCATTCCTGAGCTAACATGACCGGAGGAGGAACTCTGGGAGTTGAAGTCCCACAAGTCTTAAAAGCGGTCTAGTTGGAAGACACACCCCCATCCCCCCCCCCCGCCCCGTCCAAAGGGAAAGCCGGACCCAAATCCGTTGCTAGGATTCATGCTTTGTGTGTGGGGTGGGGGAGCAGTGCATTCTGGGAACAGAAGCCGCGCTGCCTTCTGATTGCGCGGGAATTGATTCGTTAGCGCAATCTCGCTCTCCGAGCGTGATGGATTGGCGCATAATTTTGTGGGGGGGGGGGCGGGAAACTGCTGGCACTTCGGGGGTCGCTCTCCGGGGAAAGCCCACACAGACACGCGTGCGCGTGCCCCCAACCTGGGCAACTTTAAGACTGGCGGACTTCAACTCCCAGAATTCCCCAGTTGTGAGGTGAAGGCGCCGCCGACCGTGGGGTCGCGCGGAGGCCGCGGCGGCACGCGTCCTCCCGACGACGACGCCGGGGGGGGGGGGGGTGCGCGCGCACGCAGGGCCGGCGTCCACGCGCAGGCGCGGTGGGCGTCGTCGACCGGGTTTGCATGAGGCGGCTCTGGTGGGCCTGCGGGCGGGCGCTGGGCCGGCTGCACGCGGGTCTCGTGCGGGCCCTGTTGTGGCCGTCGGGGTCTCCGCCGCGACCGGCCGCCTCGGAGGTGCTGACCCTCCACCTGCTGCAGCGCCGGCTTCCCCCCTGGACCTCCTTCTGCGTCAAGTACAGCGCGGTGCGCAACGACCAGTTCGGCCGCTCCAGCTTCAACTGGGCGGTGCGCGGCGCCAACTACCACGTGCTGCGCACCGGCTGCTTCCCCTTCGTCAAGTACCACTGCTCCCGCGGGCCCCGCCAGGACCTGGACGGCCAGGACGCCCTGCTGGCCGCCCTCAAGCTGCTCAACCTGGGTGAGCCCGCGGGCGCCCTCTTGCAGGGGGGGGGGGCGGGCGGGGGGCGCAAGTGACCCCCCCTCTCTGTTTTTTTGGGGGGGGCTTCAACCCGGCTCTCCCTCTCAAGAAGGGCCCGGGCTTCCCCGCCTTCGTTGCGCCGGTTAAACCAACCTCAGGGCCGTCTTGATAGCCTTATGGGATCCCCGGGCAAAGCAGTGTCCTGGGGCCCCTAGGGCGACAATGACTCTAGAGGAATAAAAATGTAAAATGGTCGATAAATATATATTTTCATTTACCTACCTACCTAGATCTATTTCTATCTACTATCTATCTATCCTCTATCTAGACAGTCACTTATTTGAAATGGTATAGATTCTCCTGCTTGAACAGGGGCTGGACTAGAAGACCTCGAAAGTCCCTTCCAGCTCATTCGTTCTATTCTAAATGCCAATCCTATTCTATCTACCTCCATCTATCTACCTACCTACTTCTACCTATCTACCCCCCTCCCTCCCTCTACATCCATTTAGAAACTGACCATCTCCTTCACAGTGAAGCTGAGTATGTGCGTAAAAATAAGTCATAAAAATATGCAAACTAAAAACTATCATGCAAACGTAGATAGATTACCTATTTATTCAAAAGATAGATTACCTATTTATTACCTAAAGTTCAAAAGCAGATAGATTACCACACAAATACTTAAAAATCAGAATTAAAAGGCAGGGAGATTCGAGGGATTAACCCACCTGCACGGCTGCAAACATCTCTGCTGGGCCCAAGCAGTTCAGCAGAGCCAGTTCTCCCAGGGGTGTGCAGGGCCTGCCTTGCCTCCGGTTCCCTCCTGGACACTCCATAGAACAAAGGAGCATAGGTTGTGTAGTCCAGTACATCTAAAGGCTGTGGGTGATGCTCTGTGGCCGGCTGTCAAAACCAGACCTATGATCTTGACATGCAGGTTAGTCCAGGGCCGTCTTAACGGCATGATGGGCCCCAGGCAAAGCAAAGTGTCCTGGGGCCCCTACTACAACGACAACTCACAGGAATAAAAAATGTAAATGGTCGATAAATATACATTCGCATGTTAGTAGTAATTAAAAAATGCAGCAAAATGTAATAAATACGTTGCTGTATTTATATGATGCAAGGTGCATTGAAGGGTTGACATACAAAGTTCAAAATCTTTATTATTGTACATCATGTATACAACAAAATTGTTTTAGCCTCTACTGGTGCACTCCATACAAGAATACAAGACAACATGGAAACTATAAAGAGTAGTCCTTACACAAGTAGTTAAGAAAAACAACAACTAGTCATACATTTCCATATGTACGTCATATGCTGTTCAACATGGCGTATGATCTTATATCGGGGGTCTCCAAAGTTTAAGACAAAGCTGGCTGAAGAATTCTGGGAGTTGAAGCCCACAAGTCTTAAAGTTGCCACATTTGGGGACCCCTGTCTTACGGTATATACATATTACACACTACACTGGCACCAGTGACATTCGTTTGTGGTGCTATATTGTGTTCAGGAGTCTGACAGCCCCTGCGTAGAAGCTGGTTTTTAAACCTGTTTGGCTGGCTGGCTATACTCCTGTGTCTTCTCCCCATGGTAAAAGTGCAAAGAGGTGTGAATCATTCCTAAGTAGCACATGGGGGCCCCTATGCTGGTGGGACTCACAGGCAAGTGCCCATCAGGCCCAGGCGTGAAGACAGCCCTGGCCAACCTCTCGCTTTAAATTGCTGCAAAAGGAGCAGAATGATGGTGAAGAGAAGGGCCTGAAGGTCGTCTACTTCTTCTTCTGCTGCTGCTGCTAGAAGTTGACTTTCATTTTTTGCTTTGTTTTGTTCAACGGGAAGCAGGTCTGTGTTGACCAAACATGCAGTGACTGTGTGGCTAAAGAAACCAGTTAGGGAAAGGTGGGGAAAACATCTCTCCCCCCATCACCCCCCCTTCACTTTCCAGTGGCATTCTGAACCCTTTTCCCCCAAGAAAGCTCTCCAGTTCAAAATGTTCTGGAAACCTGACATCCTGCGTGATGCTTGGATCCCACCTGCTCTGGGCGGCTGCTTGGCGGAGCCACTTGGGCACTAGGTGACTTCATGCACAGGTAGCCCTCAACCTCCAACCACAATGGAACTCAATATTCCTCTTGTTAAGTGAAACCTTTGTTAAGGAAGTTTTGCTCCATTTTATGACCTTTCTTGCCACGGTTGTTAAGTGAATCCCAGTTGAAAAGTTACTAATCCGGTTGTTAAGGGAATCTGGCTTCCTCATTGACTTTGCTTGTCAGAAGGTCGCAAAAGGGAATCCCATGACCTTGGGACACAGCAACCGTCATAAAGCAATTGCCAAGCACCTGAATTTTGATCACATGACGCTGGGGATGCTGCAAAAAGCACAACTCTGAAAAACGGTCGTAAGTCACATTTTTCAGTGCCGTCGTAACTTTGGTCACTAAATGAATGTAAGCCCTGGACCACAAATACCTTTTGCTGTATTCCTCCCCCCCCCTTTTTTTTTGCAAGATGATGCTCAACGATGGAGCCAAGAGCCATTCCTAGCAGCCACTCAGACCACCTTTTCATGACAGACCTTTTTCTTTCCAAAAAAAAAAGCTCTTTGTTCAAGGCTTTTTCTTACATTGGGCTGGCTGGGTTCACATCCAACATTTTTAGCTTCAAACAAACCCACAATATTGCTGGTAGGGCCAACCGGGGTCTTTAAACTTAATTTTCTTTTCCTGCTGTATCCTGAGTTTATTGGCAAAGCTGTTATGAATAGTGACAGTCGTGCAACTCCTAACCTGTTTCTTTTTGCACTAGGAATCCCAACGTTATTATACGGAATTAGCTCTTGGTGTTTTGCCAGCGTCACCGAGACTGTTCAGACGTGCTGTGGCCCGGTCACTATTTACTTCCTGAATAAAGAAGACGAAGGCGCCATGTACTAAAACGTGATTTCAAAAACTGTTACTGTGCTAAATTATTGCTAAATTAATATAGACAAGAATATTTTCCCAATCTTTTGCTGTGTCAACATTCTTATGCAAACAGTATATGTATTTTTTCAAGGAATGTCCCTATTGTTGAAACGTATTGCTTTTCTTTGACTCTGTAAAACATGCTTAAATGCAAAACCCAACAAAACTCTGGGAAATTACTTGAATTAACTTATTTCATTCAAAGCTGACATTTGCCTCTTAATGAAAATACTGATTTTTTACGATCTTGTCTAATTATCCAATTTTAAGTACAATTTAAAGCAATACCTTTCTTCATAATGAATTTTAAAAACTGTATAACTGATATTCAAACAGAGGTTCAGTTCTCTTTGATAAATAGAAGTTGTTTCTATTAAAATCCAGAGTTTTGAAAAAATGCCTCTGAAATTTCAGAGGGTTCAGTGTACCTGCAGCCAGGTAGAGTGATTGTAATATGGCCGAAATTTATCCTGTTACTTTCAGTGGAAGATCGTTAAGTGTGTGCTTGACTATTTGACTCAGTATGATTTAGTAGTAAGACACACTATGACTTTGTCGTATGCTTAATGTAAAAAATTACACTCAGTCACTCTAGTTTGTTGTCAAACTCTTTGACTTCCAAAGCTTTCCTGATAAAGTGTTGCAGGAATAATGTAGTTATGAAGACAGATCTAAAAACATGCCTAACATTTGTTCATTTTAAATTATTTCAGCAAGTTATTTTCATCTGGGACGTTTGCTATAAGAATATAATATAATTTATTTTTCAAAAGGCTCTTGTTAGATCTTGTGTTAGTCTATTTTTTAAAATCTATCAGAATTGAATTATGACTTGCTCTTATTCAGAAGACAAGTGGTACATTTGTTTTAACTGCAGCTCTAAATCTGTAATCAAGGAAACAATCCAGTATATTTGATACCAAAGGATATTCTTAATAACAAGTTAAATAAATAGTTCGCCCAGAGGAGTAGCTGGTGTGTTACATTAAGCTTCATTAATAATAAAAGTGACTATTAGCATTTTGCTAGATTGGCTGGAACTTATGTTCCCAGTAATGGGCAGAATTAAATAAGTGCAGCTCATAAGTTAAAGTCAAATACTGCTCGTTCATTGCTCCCGATTTTGTCGATACTCTTCTTTAAAGGTTTGGTCTCAGAACAAGACTGATAAAATGTTTTTTAATTACCACGCAATAAATAAAGCTTCCCCTTGGAGTGGCCCGTTCGCTAGCTGCAGCTTATTTGATTTCTGATAATGGAGAGTGCTGACTTTGCTTACCTGTTTTTCGATAAGTGGAGGGAACATGACTCCTTGTCTATAGCGCGCTGGGCCTCCCTCCTCGGAGAATCTCCTTGACAAACTACTCTATTGATCCCCCAGAATTTGACAGTGTTTGCAGCATTAATAGCAAGCAGAATCTTGCTCAGGGCGCTCACGGTGCAACAATTAGGCAAATGTAGTAAGAATTTTTCTTTTTATTACATGAAAATCAATGGATCTCCGGTTCTTCAAGAGCTGATCATGGTGAAGGATGAACTTGGAAGATGACTGAGGGCAAAGTTCAGAAGCAGTAATAGTATCACTAGGGGCTGTTTGTGTGGCTACTTGTTGCATTTAAACAGAAGGTGCGTTGTTCAGTTGATGCGAGGCGTCCCACTGTAGATGATAGGATAGATGAATTCTGTTGGGAACTAATTTGGGTAGGTATCGTCAAGAAAACCTCTTGGGACTGTTTTGCTGAGTGAAGAAAAGACTAGAGGCAGGTATTCATCATTCTTTCAATTTGAAATTCAGGATTATCAAAACTAATAAACAGTAGTATTTAAAAAATGCACACATGCAATCAACAACTGGGGTAGAAAGCCCACACAGATTTAACACAGCGATTGCATCAGCTCTGCTGCACCTCCAGATCTCCAAGCCCAGTGACAAAACCACAAAGATCTTGAAGACCTTGCAAAAAAAACCAGCAAAGTCATGGCCGATCTGTTCAAAGGGCAGATGGCCACAGCAAAACAAGGTTTCCTGGCTTCCACCAACTGATGGTCCCTCACAGATGAGTTCTGGAGCAGCCTCTCCTGCAGGACCTACTGGGACGGGTTGGCATAATCCTCAGTGAGTGGCAACATGCTGGCTGTGCTTGAGTACCTGAAGGCCTCAGGGCTGTTCAGCATGGAGGGCATGGCATGGTTTTCAATTTGAGAAAAGCCAGTTCCAGGTAGATCTTTGGGACAATTCCAGAAGGTAGGAGGAACTAATTAGTGATGAAGACCCTAAGCTTTCCCACCCTGGAGGTTTCAAGCAGGAGCTGAGAGGATCTTTGTCAGGAATGTTCTTACGTGGACTCCAATCCTGGCCTTGGAGTTTGCACTTGCCACTCGAGGGTTCTGTCAACCCAGAAGTTCCTTCTCTGGCCTGTTGCAGCATAGAAACCACAATTCATAGAAACCTGATTGGTTCTTACCTTCCAATTCCTGACATGTTTGAAAAACAAAAGTTTGGATTTCCTGTTGACATTTAAGTCATAGTGGTAGCTGCAACCATTGGTGGTAGACCAGCAGCAGTATTAAGAACCTGCAGATTTGCTAATTTAGGTAAATTGAATTACTCCAAAGTTTAGGCTTAGTGCAATGTGCAAACTTTCATAGTCTACTCCCCTCCCGAAACAAATCCTATACTTACGTTCAAAGACATATGTCTTGTGCCTATATCAACTTTTTAAGAATTAAATAAGCACGTTCTGTGTCAAAAATACAATTCTTGTATTCCTGTTGTAAAGGATAAGAGTGAGTAAAATTTGGGCCCTGAATGAAAAGTAATTCTAAGGAGAAAACAGTCTACACATTACACAGAATTACTCTCGTTTTACCTGTTTAATGACCCAAACTGGCTGCATTCTTCCAATTCTGATCAGTCCCCTGTGATAAGGTTCCTAGTATAGCATGTTAAAGCCAAAACAGATGACTTGCTACTGTGCGTGAACTTGGCACGATCTAAAATGGTTTACGTATGTCTTCTATGGTGGTTTTGCATGAATGTCCAATGTGAAGCTGCTTCATCCTTCCTTCACACGCACGAATCTGACCTTTGCAGCATGTTGGTGCAGTGCAGTATTGCAAGCTACTCCTACTGCAATTTGGCAGTTCGAATCCCACCAAGCTCCAGGTTGACTCAGCCTTCCATCCTTCCAAGGTGGGTAAAAGGAGGACCCAGATTGTTGGGGGCAAGAGGCTGACTCTAAACCGCTTAGAGGGGGGCTGTAAAGCACTGTAAAGCGGTATATAAGTAAGTGCTATTGCTGTTACTATGTTCTTTGCAGGAGAGAGGAAAATATAAAACGACATCTGTCGTATAAAATAAGGTATTGTACCAAAGTGTGACGTCAACACCACTTGAATGCATTCTTTTGGTTCCATGTCCTGATAAGTGGCTCCCCTCCCCATCTCATCCCAACTCCATCCTTGGGAATGTCCTTACTCTTAGCCAGGGGTCCCCAAACTTGGCGACTTGTGGGCTTCAACTTCTCGGATGAAGAACTCTGGGAATTGAAGTACACAAGTCTTAAAGTTGCCACGTTTGGAGACCTCTGCTCTTAGCTTTCAGATCCCCCCACCCCAGCCCCATGCTACATGGCCAATTATTTCTGGTTTTTTTAATCCTGTTCAAACCTCCCACCTACTCTCTCCTGTTTTCTGGCCTGCCAGCTTCATTGGCAATAAAACGGCTGGGCAGGTACTTCCAATCCCTCTTCAAAATGCATTTCAGACGCCCAGAATACATGACCTTCCAGGAAATGCGATCCTTTGAAACAATAGTTGCTCCACTTTGTGTTTGGACGCTTCTTCCCTGCTTTCAATTATCTCTTTTCTTTGGTAGAAGGGGCAATGCTTAAAAAAGCAAAGGAGAGAGAGAGATCAGGGAATTCAGCCTGATGAAAAGCATGCCAGTAACCGAAACCTCCGCCTAAGCCTGCTTGATAGATATCGGACTTGTTTCGGTGTCCCTTTTAAAGAGGAATGAGTGGTGAGAGCCCCTTAAACTAAACAAGTACTTAGCCTGACATCTTATCTGGGTCAATGGTCTAAGGTACCAGAGTTAAACTGCTACTGTAAATTAATGGAAAATGTAACTGCGCTTTGCTAAAAGATCGATGTCCAATAAAGGCCACACAATCAAATCTTGTTGCAATGATTGAGATCCTTAATTGCCTTTCAAAGGTAAGGTGGTAATCAACATAGGTTAAACTGATCTTTTTTACTAGTTCAATTACATGCTAATGGCTAGTGCCAAGGCAGAATCTTTAACTACTTTTATGTATTAAATCTTACGTTAGTAATGAAAAATTACTTAAGTTCCCCAATCAATAAAATAAGAGTCTTAATTACTATATTTCACTTTTAGACCTTTTGTATGTTTGACAAATTTGTCCGCCAGGAGATTTTCCAACAATAAGAAACATTATTAACAGAAGCCTCGTCCGTGGAGTATTGTTTACTAATCCAAAAAGCTGAAATGTGTTGGATGTTTTGTGTATACGTGTTAATGGAAATGTCAGGCTTGCATTAATACTTACAAATGCCAATATGTAATAGTCTCAAGCATTGATGTTTGCATAAAGATCGATTGGAGGGGCCTCTTGGGAATTTATTTTAATTCCAGAACTAAACTTCAACCAGGACATTTTAAGTTAGAAATGAAGAGAACAGAATAAGCCTTTGGACGGAAACCCCTGGCTTTCTCCCACATAGCTTCCCCAGACTGCAGCTCCAAGTCCTGGTCAGATGCGGGGTACTACTACTATATTTATGAAAAGAATAAACACCAACCTGCCGATCAAAGTCCCATTAAATATCTCTTGAGGAACTGAGCCAGGTGCCCTTTGAGTTCTAGGCTGTCGTCTGTAACAGATAACTGAATAAAAGGATCAATGATGTACAATGGCAACATCTTGCTTTTATTTCAAAAATACAAAACACTTAGCCAGAACTTCTCTTAGAGATATTTGCATCCTTTTAAGCACAGTTTATGAGCTCTGAGTTACCTCATGACAAAGTTATTTCAGTGATTGCAATAGTACCAATTGGACCCAACTGCTAAATGGTGGAAAGTAATTGTCTTCCCAAAGGAAAGCTCTGAATTTTAAAATTCATTTAAAAACTGTGTAGCACTTTTTTTAAAAAAAAAAAAGAATGTATGAAGCTGGGGAAGGAGCAGGTAGAATTATGAACACTATTAAAATCATGGTCTCTTAGTTAACTTCTATCCATAAATCTATTTGAGTTTTTCTTTGAAGAAATGACTGCAAGATAGAGTCATTATATGCCTTTTGATTCATGGCCCTTGTTACATACATGCTTTGTAATATATGAATAATTTAGTAAGAAAAATCACAATAATTTTGTTGTTACTCAAAAATTTATAGGTCGGCAAAAACAATTATAAAGCCCCTCAAGCTAACTGAGGAAAGTTGTGGAATGCTTTAAGCTTGTGGAATCCGTATACCCACGCAGGGAATATTTTGGGGGATCAGGAAGGCCATCTCAGGTTTGCACCTGCTGGATTTTCGAGGGGAAAATATATATAATTGCACACCCTCCCAATAAGACGTTGCACAACTGGCATATTCTTCTGTGGAAGCTCATCCAGACTGAAGGTGCAGCCAGCTGGGTGTTTTTCAACCTCAAACCATTTCAGATGGGTGGACTCCAACTCCCAGAATTCCTCAGCCAGCAAGCTTAACCCAGGCTGAGGTTACGAAAACACCCAACTAGAGTCACCAAATTGGCTTCCAACTGAAATGATAAAGAAGTGGCACTTGGCTGACAAAGAACAGGGAGCCTGCTAGCATCTCTTCCCACTAACAAATTTTGACGGAAAGGTATACGCTTTTGTGTTGTTAGCAACTCACTTCATTGGACACACAAAATGACATTGGGAGGGAGGGGATCATGTAAGTTGCATCTCCCCTCCATTTTCCCCACCTCATCCCAGTTTAACTCCCAGATCGATTCAGCCACTCTTTGCAGCCAACGAAGTGAGCGGCAGCTTTTAATAACATTTTTATCCGCCTTTTGATAACATTTGTTACTTTGAAAAGGTGCAACCAGACTGCTGATGTTTTGCACCATGCATTAGCAGGGCTCTCCTACACGGCATCTAGAACAAGAAGATCCATGAAAGGATGGGCCCTCAACTCTGGATTAGCACGTTATCAGAATTTTGCATCCCTCAATTTAATACTCCCTCATCATCATCATCTTTCTTTCTTTCTTTCTTTCTTTCTTTCTTTCTTTCTTTCTTTCTTTCTTTCTTTCTTTCTTTCTTTCTTTCTTTTCTTTCTTTTCTTTCTTTCTCTCTCTCTCTCTCTCTTTCTTTCTCCTCTCCCTTCCCTTCCCCTCTTTCTTTCTTTCCTTCACCTCTTTCCTTCCTTCCTTCCTCTTCTTTCTTTCTTTCTTTTTCTTTCTCTTTCTTTCTTTCTTTCTTTCTTTCTTTCTTTCTTTCTTTCTTTCTTTCTTTCTTTCTTTCTTTCTTTCTCCTCTCCTTTCCGTTCCCTTCACCTCTTTCTTTCTTTCCTTCACCTCTTTCCTTCCTTCCTTCCTTCTTCTTTCTTTCTTCTTTCTTTCTTTCTTTCTTTCTTTCTTTCTTTCTTTCTTTCTTTC